ACTCCCCCTCCCAACATGACTCACAAACCCTTTCTGAAGCATATTAAGGGTATTTCAGTTTCCTAGTTCCCTGGAATTCTAGGGCAGCAATTGACAGAATCAGGTGCTAAGAATGGGATCAGGTGGCTCATCCTTCTTATCTTTCCTTAAGATGAGGAAATCTGCTGTCTGTGAGAGCTAGGGGAAACCACTGAGAAAATATTGCACCTGGGCTGAGCTGAGCATTATCACAATTTTAGAAACGAGAAGAAATCAGGTTAGAGATATGAGGCAAGATGGTGAAATTTCACTAAGTTGCATTAGTGAACAGAAAACAGTTGCAGAATCCTAAGGAGTTTTTTTGTTGCCAGGGTTGTTAACTAGCTTGCCCAAAGCCAATGAAAATGACCATTAGGCTTGCTTCTTAAGGGAGAACAATAGAGCCTTTATTCTAAGGAATTACAGCTTTTCCTTTGGAGGCTGACCTAGATAGGAGTGGGAGATGGGACAGGAAACCACAATATCAAAGGGAAAAGGATCCAGTTTACCAATTTAGCTGTGTATGCCTGTGTACATTTTCTAGCAAGCAGTGTCAGCATTTAGTAGGTTCAGGGCAGAAGGCTGTTATTTGCAATTTCAAAATTTTTAAATGTAGACACATCCTTATACAATATGAACAAGAGTCCAGATGGTATGGAAAGCATTGCAGGCAGCAAGTTCTGTTGGCCTTGATAGCATATGGAGTTGGTGATGTCCTCTCCTCAGTTGCCTTTTTTTTTTTTCCGGTACTAATAAGGCCTGAGATTTTTTTTCCCCAAAACCTGTGGTATCTTCCCATATCTTTCTCACATAGCTTATGAATCATTCCCTCAACATTAGGAATGATTGATAAGTCATATTACTGAGAAATCATTTCCTATAGGTTTGAATATAGTCACCTTAAATTGTTATTTGGTGCTTTCTCTGTCCCTGTTTGGTGCTTGTCATAATAATAATAATGATAGCTAGCATTTATATAACAATATATATCTATATATTCCCTATAGCTGTCTATTTCTATATACAGTCTTGTTTGATCTCACAACAACCCTTTAAATTCTGTTATTCCAATTTTAAAGAAGGGAAAACTAAGTCCAAGGGAGGTAAAGTGATTTGTCCAGAGTCACACAGCTAAATCTGAGGCAGGATCTGAGCTCAGGTCCTCCTGACTCCCAGTCTGATACTTTTTTTTTTAAATGTAATTAATTTCTGTTGGCAAACATTGACACCAGTGAAGAGGTGGGGGGGTTGGGGTGCTCCTAGATGCACAGAGGCACCCCAAGATTGTGGGAGGTTTTAGGGTTCTGGGAAAAAGCCCCAGATCACAGCATGGATCTGCTTGAAAGAATTCAACCCAAAAATCTTCTTTCAGCCAGAGAAAAAGTTTATTAAAGATAAATCACATATAGGCCAGGTCGCACCCATGAGGAAAAGAATCTCAGCCTCTGGAAGTGAGAGGTTCTCAGCATCTGAATGGGGGCTGGGGGCTAAGGTGGTCAGACCAGGTGATGAGCCCTGCAAGGGTCTCAGCCTCTAGGCGTGAGAGCAGCTCAGCCTCAGAATGGAGGCTAAGGTGGTCAGGCCAGGTGACGCTCGGGCTTGAGGCAGTCTCAGCCTTTTGGGCGTGAGGAAAGCTCAGCTTCTAAATGGGGGCTGGGGGCTAAGGAGGCCAGGTGAATCCCAAGCCGGGTGATGCCCATAAAGATGGGTGGGTGTGAGAGACTCAGCCTGTAGGGGCATGAGAAATTCCCAGCATCAGAATGGGGCAAAGGTGAATCTTAAGTACAGAAAGACTGTGGGAGGGGTTTAGGAGTGGTCAAGTAGTTTGGAGTGATGGGAGGAGGGGTCTAAGGAGATCTGGATGGTAGTGGCTAGTAAGCTGGGGTGAACAGAACTCCTGGGTCCTGGACCTCATGGCACCTAGCTAGGATTAAGGGTGAGAAATGGCCAGGAAGGCAAAACATGGAATGAGAGGCTGGTTGAAGGGGGAGGTGATAAAGAAAAAGGGTCCAGGTGAGAATTTCCTTTTGGAATGTCTGAGGGATTTGAACAGACAATGAGAATAGATAATGAAGGGAACTGGAAGGGGGAGTTTGCTTTCAAAGGGAGATAAAGAGAGACAAACAGAAGCCAGGTTCTTTTCAGGGCCAGGGAAGAAAGATGCATATGAATAAGGTCAAAAGGAAGCTTTGCAAGGGAGATAAAGGGAATCTAAAAATCTAAAGGTTTTCAAACTGGATGGTGGGCACATCACCCAGTCATTTCCCAGGGGAACGCCAGAGATTTGGCCATGTGGGAAAGTCCAGGGTTTTTCCTTTCTGGGGTCCAGATCCCAATCTCATCACCAGCAATAGAAATATCAGTAGAAAATAAAATTAAAGTAAAATAAAATTTCAGTTGTTTTCTCTCATACAAAGATTTGATCTTATTGACTGTAGCAATTGGTGAAATAATCTTAATACAAAAGGGTAAGCTGATTTGAGTTACAACCAGCATACCCAGTATGTTGTGTGCCCAAGGGTGAAGAGCCTTCTGAATGTGGACAGTCAATGGCACCAGTGCTTTAAATTCAACAAAAGTGTTCCTTGGTGTTTCTTTCTTTCTTTTTTTAATTAGGCTTTATAACATAACAAGACCAGAATGTAAACCACAGCAATTAGGAAATAAGGTTGGACTGAAAAGTTTTTAAAAGCTTGGCAGATGAATAAATTTAAACATATAATAGAAAAATTTAGAAGGTAATTCTATGCAAGAACAAAACTTATCTCACTAGCTCCACATTTCATAAAAGGTTAGGTTTTTGTTGCTTAAAAAAAAATTGTAGAAGACTGCACTGATGCTGGAATAAAGAGATATTTTGACCCCATGATTTCCTTAACTCTGGAATTCATTTTTGTACATTTAGAAACATTTCCATGAAAGTTTATTTTCCATTTCAAAGTGTCAAAATAAAGATCCGCTTTAGTGGTTTATGAGGGGAAAAAAAAAACAAGAAAGAGGCACAACAGAGGTTTTATCAGCTTCTTTTTGCAGTAGAAGGAATTAAACAGAGGGAATTATCATCTGTCCTTAGGAAATTCAGTTTTTTTTTGGGAGGGCAGGAATAAACAGTTCCCAAAACCATATAATATATTAAAGTTTTACTTAAGCCAAGCATCCATTTCTTTTCAGATAACTGCATATCTGATAGCAGAATAGAAGATAGAAGTTTCATTGTTTAGCTTTACATAAACAATTGCTCCCTGAAAACTTAATTCAAGCTACATGCATTTCACATAAAATCTATGTACAGCGTTCATAAGCCATTCAAAAGAGCATATCATGTATTGGGACTAACCATATAAACATTGAATATCCAATGATCTGAGGATAGATATACTATATGCTGAAGAGCAGCTGAACCAAAAAAAGATGAAAGAAAGCAGATGGGAATTAGAGGCCTTTCCAGATGCCTTGTTTTTTGTGCTTTGGCTCGATTGTAACAACTAAACCCCAGAACCATGACAGTAATTATATATAGCGAGAGAGAGATGTGTATATACATTTATGGGCATATATAATATAAATATATATCCCTTTAGATACAACAGCTGTCATGAATATATCCTATAGAATAACAGAATCAAAATAATCTCTTACAACCCTGTTAAATGAGTCCAATATTGTACTGCAACGTAGCTAAAATTTCTCAGCCTGAAATTTCCAATTATGAGTACTTTTGCAAGTAGCAGTCCCCTGAAATAGACTAATGTACTCAACCAAAAAGCTCCCTGAGAGAAAAGCCTAAAGGTTAAATATCTTTGTGATCTAAAGGAAGGCACCGAGCACTCTGAGTCAGCTCCCTGAGGGAGCATTTATGAGAAGTCATGGTCAAGAGTTCCACGGGATAAGATGGTGTGGATGGGCTGCAATCTGCATCACTGGGTGGAACACCTACATCTTTGCCAGTCTGGCACTCTTAATCCACTGTGCTACCTCGCTGCTTTGTCATATTCAGAGCCTTCCTGATTCTTTTTTTGAAGGAAGGATTTGGGATATGTAGACATTGTTTCTGTTACTCTGCAGGTCTTTTTGTCTTATTTCATGCCTTTTTCTGGATACCTGTTTTTCACCATCCATTCCTATTCCTACCTTTCTTTTGTTCTTCTTTTTTTTTTTTTTTTTGGTGGTTAGGCAATGGGGTTAAGTGACTTGCCCAGGGTCACACAGCTAGTAAGTGTTATGTGTCTGAGGTCGGATTTGAACTCAGGTCCTCTTGAATCCAGGGCCAGTGCTCTATCCACTGCGCCACCTAGCTGCCCCTTATTCCTACCTTTCCTTTAAAGTCACTAAGTGACAAATTGTATGTTGAATTTTTTTGGTAGGTCTTTTCAGGTTCTTCATAGAATTTCTCTTTGTCTTCTACTACCAATCATGGGGCATAAGTTTATAATTATAATTATAATTATAGAATTATATAATAATTATAATTATAATTTTCATGGCAGTCACTTTGCGAATACTTATCATCACACAATACAGTACAGTATGATAAAATGATGTTCTTTGTTGCTTTTTGGTACATAATAAACCCACTCTTCCCACACCTTTCTTAAGGTCATAGATTTATGGCTAGAGGAGACCTTAGAGGTCATTGAGTACAAATTACTCATTTTATAGATGAGGAAACTGAAGTTAAGTGACTAGTCCAGAGTCACATGGCCAGTGTCAATCTGTGAGCCATCTTTTCATTTATCTGCAGCTTCCTTCTGTCTTCTGGATTTGTTTATAGCAAAATCAATAGGATTAATATAAATTAAGGAATAGTATGTCTGTTCCTTGATCACTGCATAAGAGCCTCACATTTGGAGTGCCAACAGCTAAGTTAATATGTAGGCATATTTTTAACTGTATGATTCCTAGCTCCCTCTGCTCTGCACATAGTAGGCACATAATGTAAATGTCTGTTGAGTCAGGATATGATTTGCCTCTCCCTCTGCCAGGGACACAGCCCAGACCCGAGCCCTGTTTGAGAAGCATCGGCCTACACATGTCATCCATTTGGCAGCCATGGTGGGTGGCCTCTTCCGGAACATCAAGTATAACCTGGACTTCTGGGTAAGGAAGGCTTCTGCCCTTGGAGCTTGGAAATGGGGAAGACCCAAGAAGGTGATTTCTTCTCCCTTCAAGGCACTTCCTCTTCCTCCTTCTCCCCTAGTTTCCTGAGGTGCTGTCCTGGAACTTCTCAGGAGGAAGGGTGCCCAATGGTAGGACTCATTCCTGTGTAGAATTATGCACGCATGAAGTCCTTCCTAGGGACCAACTATATGCCCAGGGTTCCTGGAACCTGGGAGAGAGAAACATGACAGAGCCAGAGATTTAGGGGCTCGTTGCAGAGCTGGGGAGACCGATATATTTTTTTAAGGTATTAGGCCCTAACATGACATATGTGTGTGTGTGTCTGTGCATATGATTGAAGATCAACATGGAGGGTGCAGTTCCATTCAACCAGCATTTATTAGGCCCGTACTCTATTGGTTGGAGCAGCAGTTTGGTTTAGGCCTCTGCCGAGAGCACCAGTAGTGACCAAAGTCCCAGCTCTCCCCCGGTTACACCCCCTAGGCCTGCCAGCCCCTCAGTCCTACTTGGATTTGTCCTGGGTTGAAGTTCAATTGCAATTTGATAGCTTTGTAACCTTTCAGAAGGCACTCCCCACTCTGAACTTCCATATTTCCATATTTATAATAGGGATTTAATATTTAAAACAGGGATAATGATACTTGTACTGTTTCCTTCACAGAGTCGTTGTGAGCAAAGTGCTTTGTAAACATTAGAGTTCTGTAGAAATGGGGAGATACAAGTATAGATTCAGAACTGAGAATGTCAGGGTTGGAAGGGCCTATAGAGATCCTCTAATCCAGGGGTTCTTAACTTTTTCATGTCATGGGCCCCTTTGGCAAGTCTGGTGAGACTGTGGGCCCCCTTCTCAAAATAATATTGTTGGGGTTTTTTTATTTACATGTTTTATTTTTTTAATCAGCAAAAATTTGCCTTCCTTACCCACCCCAACCTACCCTCCCTCCCAAATGGGAATGAATGAAAAATAAAATCCCTGTTTCTAACATGAATGATCAGGCAAAATACATTTCCACGTTGGTCGTGTCCAAGATATACATGTCTCCTTCTGTACTCGAGTCCTTCACCTCTCTATCAGGAGGTGGGTAGCATGCTTCATCATTAGTCATCTGGAAGTGTGGCTGGTCATCACGCTGATCAGAGTTCCTAATTCTTTGGAAAGTTTTTTTTTTAAGTCTTTACCATATCATTGTCATTGTATGAACTGTTCCTCTAGTTCATAATACTGTTTTTAAATATAGAAAACAAAATTCAGAGGATTACAAAGGAAACCAGTTCTATTGAAATACTACACATGCACACACACAGATGTGGGTATAGTTATATATATAGATATTTATATCTATATGTGACTGAGGTCACAGACCCCATGATCTGCATTTTTTTTGTTTTTTTGTTGGTGAGGCAATTGGGGTTAAGTGACTTGCCTAGGGTCACACAGCTAGTGAGTGTTATGTGTCTGAGGCCGGACTTGAAGTCAGGTCCTCCTGAATCTAGGACCGGTGTTCTAACCACTTCACCACCTAGCTGCCCCTGATCTGCATGTTTTCTGGGCTGCAGTTTAATCCTCTCCTCTTGCCACCTTGAGGCAGTGTGGTATAGTGGATTAGACAGGTTCTAATCCTGACTCTGCTACTTACTATGTGACCTGGGCAAGTCACTTTGCCTCTGAGCCTCAGTTTCCTCAACTGTAAAATGGAGACAGTAATAATTGTACTATTCACCTTCTGAGGAAAAGTGCTTTGTAAACTTTAAAGGACTATAGAATTATGGAATCATAGAATCTGAGTTGTCTAGGATTTTAAAGGCTATCTTGTTAAGCCTATACCTGATAAGAATTCCCTTTACAACACACCCAATATTCGGTCATCCAGCTTTTGTTTCAAGTCTTGCTTGAAGACTGTAGTGAGCCCATTTCACTTTTGGAGAGTTCTAGTTATTTGGAAATCTTCACTTTCATCAAGCCAAAATCTTCTTGACTGCAATGTCTTCTCACTAGTTCAAGCAGAACAAGGCTAATTTCTCTTCCAGATGAGAACCTTTCAGGTATTTGACCACAGCTGTCATATGTTCCTCTAAGCCTTTCCTTCTCTCTAGTATTCTAGATCTGTCCAAACTCCTCATTTTACTGAAAAAGGAACTTGGGCCCAGATAAGGCAGCTAGTTCAAGGTCACATAGCAAGCCTGTGACAGAGCTAGACCAAAGACCTTGGCCTAGTACCCTTTTGCTACCCCACTTATAAAGGCTTAGGTGAGAATTTGAGCTGAACTTTGTAAATAGAAATCGGTCATTATTACCTCTCTCTTTTCAGTTCAGAATACCTTTCTGCTTAAAGAATGGCCCTTCAAACTATCACATTCATCATTATAGGTCCTGATGTGTATTTGTGCAGGGGAATCTTACAAGTGAATCATAGGCTTTTGATTCAAAGTCATAGAATATCAGGGCTGGGAGGGAGCTTAAAATGGAGACTCAGGGCTGGGAGGAGCCTTAGAGATCATCCAGTCTAATTTCATCATTTACAGAGGAGGAAACTGAGGCCCAGAAAGGGAAAAGGAGATGTTCACAGCCACTTAGTGAGTTGGGGACAGAACAGGACTAGAACCTATGTCTCCTTATGCTCAGCCCTGGACTCTCCTCTGACTTTCCCTGCTTCTTTTTCTAGCAGGGCACTGTGTTTGGGACCAGAATTCATATTGACTGAGGGCCTTACATAGTGGTAGTGGGGAGGAAATTATTTCTAAGGCCCCATCTAACTTGAAATAATATGATTTAGGAGTCCAAAAATCAAAGATTCTTTTGTGAGTGAGAAGGGTGTATGAAGGAGAGAAGCAAGAGGCAAGGTTAGGGATGTGGCTGGCAACCAGATTATAGGACCCATAAAGGCAAGGCTAATGAGTTTGAATTGTGTCCTGGAGGCAGTAAGGGAGCCATTAAAGGTTTTTGGGCAGGGAAATGACACAGTCAGACCTATACCTTAAAATTACTTGGGTAGCCTGGGAAGGATAGGTTATAGGGAGAGAGACTTAATCCAGGAGGACCGATTAGAAGACTTAAAATACTCCACTTGAATGTGGTAACAGCCTCTTAAATTAGACTGTAGAGTGGTGACAGTGAGAGTGGAGAAGAGAGGACATATGGGAGAGATTTTTGGAGGTCAGTTGAAAAGGAATTGGCAATAGATTGGAGGAGAAGGGGAAAGGAAGATCACAGATGACTGGCTGAGTAGGGAGATCATATTCTGTCTCTCGCCTCTCCAGAGGAAGAATGTTCAGATCAACGACAATGTCCTGCACTCAGCCTATGAAGTGGGCACCCAGAAGGTGGTCTCCTGCCTCTCCACCTGTATCTTCCCTGATAAGACCACCTATCCCATCGACGAGACCATGGTAAGGACCCCAGCCCTCGAGTGCCTGATGGAGGGAGGAGAGAGGGCTGGGCAGAAGGGGCAAGTGGAGGTGTGGCCCCCCCCCAGTACCTTTGGGCCTCAAGGATCTCTTTCTTTCTCTTTCTCTCCCCTTCTCTCCCCTTTCTCAACCCTACACTCAGATTCACAACGGACCCCCCCACAGCAGCAACTTCGGCTACTCCTATGCCAAGCGCATGATCGACGTGCAGAACAGGTCTGGGCTGATTGGGAGGCAGCAGTGCCAAAAGCCCCGGGCCACTGTCCTGTCTTGTCACACACACCTTCCCAGCCTCACAGGCCCCACTGTCCAGCCTAGCAGTCAGCACGCACTTATTAAGCACCTGCTGTATTACACACTGGGGATACAAAAATGGTAACAATATAGTTATTAGAAAAATAGCTAGCATTTATGTAGCCTTTACTATGTGCTAGGCACTGTGCTAAGTGCTTTACAAATATTTTATTTCAGGAAGGAAATAAGGTTATGTTCTTCTCCTATTAAGGTTATGTTCTTTTGGGAGAGACAATGCATACATATATAATCAACCAATCAGGCATTTATTAAGTACCCATTATGTGTCAGGCACTTTGCTACCTGCAGGGGATACAAAGGACAAATAAAATCAATCCCTACCTTCAAGGAATTTACCTTCTAATTTGGGAGATAATGTGTACATAAATAGGCATAGATAAGATACAAGCAGAGTGAAAGGAGGGTAACCTTAGAGTGGGAGGCACTAGGATCTGAAGGGACCTAAAAACACTTTCTGCAGACAGTGGCATTCCAGCTGAGTCCTGAAGCAAGCCAGAGATGCTAAGAGTCAGAGATGAAAGGGAGGACATGCCAGGTACAGGGGACAGCCAGTGCAAAGATATGGAGATGGGAGTGGAGGGTTATACAAGATAAGATAAGACTGTAGAGGGGAGGAATGCATAAGAAGACTGGAAATATAGGGGGAAAGGGACTGACTGGGCTGTTAAGAGTTTTATTTTTTAAATAAGTTTGTATTGTTGTGTTTTTTTTTTTACATCACCATAGTTTTCCCCCAGTTTCCCTTCCCCCACCCAGAGAGCCATCCCATATAACAAATAGTATTTTTTAAAGAGGAAAAAAAATGAAAAAGAAGAAGGGAAAATGAGATAAATAATTTATACATCAAAAAAGTCTGAAAATATGTGCAGTGTATAAGACTTGTGGTCCTTTCATCTCTGCAAAGGGGTCAGGTCAGGGTATCTTCTCATATCTTTTCTTTCAAGGCATGTTTGCAACATTCACTTTTGACTCTGTGTGGGTGTTTCTTTTTTGTTTATATTGTTGTAGTCATTTTTATATATTGTTTTCCTGGCTCTGCTTATTTCACTCTGCATCAGCTCATATGGATCTTTTCACACCTCTCTGTATTCATGATTTCTTACAGCATAATAGCATTCCATTACATTCATGTACCATAATTTGTATAGCTGTCCCCCAATCAGTGTGCCTCTACTTTGTTTCCAATTCTTTGCTATCAGAAAAGATGCTGCTATGAATATTTTGGTATGTATGGAGACTTCTTATCAATATCTTCTTTGGAGTATGAGTCTAATAATGGAATCTCTGGGTAACAGCAGTATAGACCTTTTAGTCACTTTATTTACATAATTCCAAATTGTTTTCCAAAATGGTTGTACTGATCCACAGCTCCACCAACAATGTACTAGAGTGAATACCCTTCCTCCTTGCTTATACTTCTTTTGGGAAAGTTTCCAGGGAAGAGTTGGGAAGGGTTCCAGGGAGGTGATGTCAGGAAATGGACCAAGGACAAGGTGCAGGATGAGGTTGAAGTATAGGATATAGTCAGGGTCATGATTTAGGGGAAGTCCTTAGGACATGGACCCAGGAGAATCATATAGCAGCTCCTTCTGTACTGCATGTTTTCTGGGCTGCAGTTTGATCATCTCCTTGCCTCCTTGAGGCAGTATGGTATAGTGGATTAGAAGGAAGAAGACTTAGGTTCTGATCCTGACTCTGCTACTTACTATATGACCTTGGGTAAGTCACTTTGCCTCTGAACCTCAATTTCCTCAACTATAAAATGGGGACAATAATAATTGTACTGTTCACTTCCTGAAGAAAAGTGCTTTGTAAACTTTAAAGGACTATAGAATTAGGGAATCACAGAATCTGAGTTGGCAAGGATTTTAAAGGTCAACTTGTTAAGCCTATACCTGTATAAGAATTCCCTTTACAACACACCCATATTTGGTTGTCCAGACTTTGCTTCAAGTCTTGCTTGAAGACTCTAGTGAGCCCATTTCACTTTTGGACAGTTCTGGTTACTGAGAAATCTTCACTTTCATCAAGCCAAAATCTTCTTGACTGCAATGTCTTCCCACTAGTTCTGTCCTCTGAGATCATGCAGGACAAGGCTAATTTCTTTTCCAGATGAGAGCCTTTCAGGTATTAGAACATAGATGTCATGCTCCTCTAAGCCTTTTCTTCTGTCTAGTAACCAGTTATTTCAACATAATGGCATGACCACGAGGCTTCCATCATCCTAGTTGTCCTCTTTCCAAAAATATGGCACCTACAACTGAACACAGTACTCCAGAGCACAGCAGGAGAGGCTCAGTTCCCTAATTCTGGACACTCTACCTGTACTAATGCAACCTAAGATATGTTTGCTTCTTTGTCTCCTGTATCACACTTTTGCTTCATTGGGCCCAAGATTTCTTTCAAACACTTCTTTCTACTCATACCTCCCCCATCTCATATTTATGAAGCTAATTTATGAAGCCAAGAGGAGGACTTCACATTTATCCCTATGAAATTTCATCTTATTCTAGCCTGTAGAGATATTTTTGAGTCCTGCCATATCAGATAGCTAAGTTATCTCACTTTTGTGTCATCAGCAAATTTGATAAGTCACACCATCTATGCCTTTATCCAGGTCATTGAAGCCAAGGACCGATCCAGGGATAACACCAGTAGAGACCTCCTTACATGCTGACATTGAACAATGACTAATCCAAACAGTTCTGAATTCACTTACTTGTATCTCTCTCCATGTTCTCCAAAAGGATAGCATAAGTTTTAAAAGTTTTTAAAAAGCCAAAATCCAGACAACTTTTATCATTTGCATTCTCCTGATCTCCTAGTCTAGTAACACTGTCCAAAAAACATGAGTTAATTTTTCATGACTTATTTTTAATGGAGCGGAGGCGGAGCTTTGTGATCTCTGTGTGTTTCATTTTCTAGATGTTCCATCTCTTTAGTGGCATATTCTAGAATTTTTTTGAGGAATCAATGTCAATTATGATAATTTGCAGATTTCACTTTCATTTTTGAAAAATAGGACATTCTCCCTTCTCTAGTTTCATGATATCTGTCCTCTTCTCCATGGTCTTTTAAAGACCACTGACAGTTGCTCAGCAACCACATCCATCACTTCTTTGAGTGGGATATAATTTATCTGATCCCAATGACTTTAATTCATTGAGAACAGTCAGATGCTTTCTTAATATGTCCCCATTTGTGTTGGGCGTAAGCTCCTTATTAGCTATTTTTGTTCTGTCCTTCCAAGTTCCAAGATTTTCTCCTGGATGGAAAATAAGAAAATAGGAGTGGACTAGTTCAGAATTTTCTCTGTTATGTGTTATTTCATCTAACCCCAGCAACAGTCTTATTCCTTCTTTGAGTCTTTCTCTTTTCCCCCTAATATAGCTTAAAAAAAAACAAAAAAACCTTTTTTGTTCTCCTTATCTTTCCTTCCTAGTCTTCTCATTCTTAACTTTTGCATTCCTGACACTTCCACAATCATGCCAAACATTTGTATTCACTCTGTTACCTTCTTTTGAGTCCATTTCCTGTGTCTTTTAGAAGTCTAAATGTGTGATTGGGTTCCCTGTGATTCACGTCTCTCTCTCTTTTTTTTTTAAAGGCAATTGAGGTTAAGTGACTTGCCCAGGGTCACACAGCTAGTAAGTGTCAAATGTTTGGTCTGAGGCCGTATTTGAACTCAGGTCCTCCTGACTTAAGGGCCGGTGCTCTATCCACTGCGCCACCTAGCTGCCTCCCATTCACGTCTCTTAACAACTCCTCCATCCTCATCAGAATTGTTTTATTTTATCTTCAGGATCTCAATTATTACAAGATTGGCTATTGTTATTACTGGATTGACTTTTTTGGTAGGATCTCAATTATATATCTTAGCATTATCTCCCCATCCCTCCAAGGCCTATAGAAATAGGGTTCATGAGAATCTACTTAACTGGGCTGGTCCTGTGGTGACAAGTTTGTCACTGGGGCCTATACTTAAATCCCTGTCTGGCTTGAAAGGGCCTACTGGACCCCATGTCACTAAGGCAGAACCTCTGAGAAGCCCAAGTGCCCTCTGTGCTGTGATGAAGCATCAAGAAAGTCTTGTTATTGTTGCCAAATCTTGTCATTTCTGCTTTCGCAGCATCTTGTACTCATTCCCTTCTCTCTGCACATCCAGGTGCTCCTTACTTCTCACTAGGACTAGTACAGTAGCCTTCCACTCCTCTCCCTGCCTCAGTCTCTCTCCATTCTAATCCATCCTCCACTCAGCTATCAAAGGGGTTTTTCCTAAAGCACAAGTCCAATCGTATCATATCCCTTCCCTACTCAAAAAACTCCATTGGTTCCTCCCTATTACTAGGATCCTATATAAAGTCCCTTTTCTGGCATTTAAAGCTCTTCATAATCTGGCCCTTTTCCACTTTTCCAGCCATCTTCTACTTTACTGCCCTCCAGCCACCCTATCTATGATCCAGCTACACTGACCTGTTTGCTGTTTCTTGATCCCAGCTCTATCTTCCTTCTCTGTGCCTTTCTATTCACTGCCCCCCATGCCTGGAATGGACAGGCTGCCCCCTGCTTTCTGATTTCCTTCAAGACTCTGCTCAGGTCTTGCATAATAATGCACAAAGCCTTTCCTAAAAGTGTTCTCTCCTCCTTCCCCCTGCACAAGTGCCTTCTCTTTTAAGGTTATCTACTATTTATTCTGTGTGTGTGTGTGTGTGTGTGTGTGTGTGTGTGTGTGTGTGTATGAGTGTACCTCATTATTTACATCTTGACATTAGGATGTGAGCTTCATGGGAGCAAGGACTCTTGTTGCCCAGTATCTCCAACACTTAGCACAGTTCCTGGCCCATAGTTAGCTCCTAATGAATGTTTGTTAAGTGACTGATTTGGAGCTCTTACCTTCAGTTGGCATCAGTATTGAACTAGAAACACAAACATCATCATTAATCATATGTGTGCCTGCATATGGTAGGTGCTTCATATGTTAGTAATTCCTGGTTGTCCTCAACCAAGGCTCTCCGATTCATTTCAACATTTATTAAACATGCAGTTGTGCATGGCTGGAAAATGGAAAAATAACAGCCCAACATTTCAATAATATTTTACATAATCTCATTTGATCCTCTCACAACAAGCCTGTGAGGGGTGTGCAGTGCCAGCATCACTATCCCAATCTTACCGATGAAGAGATAGGTCCGTTGAGGGGACGGGACTGACTAAAGTTGGATGGTAAGGGGTGGAACTGGGATTTGAGCTCAGGTCTCACAGAATCTGAGAGCTGGAAGGACCTTCAGTGGCCATGTGGTGTAACCCATACATGAGAGGAATCCTTACTATATATAACCCTACCCAACAAGTAGTCCTCCAGCCTCGACATCCAAATCCAGGTTGTGACCACTGCATCATAGCTGACCCCACCTCTTCTGTGGGCCTCAGGTTCCTTGTCTGCTCAGTGAGTCAGACTTTAAGATCCTTTCCAGCTCTCACTCTTTGAAAAAAGCATCACTTCCTGCTACAGGTAGCTAAGGTGCTTAAAGATGGACTGAGCTGGGGCCCTTTGGGTAAACAATATAAATGTCTTTATGCAGTTGCTGTGTGCTCAGTCCTGAGCCCAGTCCAGCTTGGGAGGAGGGAAGAGGAAGAAGAAAACCAAGCCCATACCTCAGGGACCTCCCAGCCAGGAGATAGAACACAAGATAGGATAAGGTTAGGATTCAAGTCTAGCCATGTGGTACAGAATACCCAGGCTGGAGAAGTAGGAGGAAAGAGATGTCACTAACTATGGGAACAGCAGAGGGCTTCCTGTAGGAGGTGGGTTGATCTGGACCCTGAAAGATGAATCATGGGTACCCTGTAAGGAGAGCCCCAACCAGCCTCACCCTCACTCCTATCCCAGGGCTTACTTCCAGCAATACGGCTGTACCTTCACTGCTGTCATCCCCACAAATGTCTTTGGACCCCATGACAACTTCAACATTGAAGATGGCCATGTGCTTCCTGGCCTCATCCACAAAGTCTACCTTGCGAAGCGTGAGTCTGTCTGCATCTTTGTGCATTTCTATTTGCACCTCTTTGTCTTCTGTATGCATGTGTGTGCATGTGTGCGTCCTCCTGGGACGTGAAACTTCCTCCTAATCCCATCTCCAGCCTCCATCTTCACTGTCTTAGGCTTAGCCCCGGGAGGAATGTTTGGTCCCAGACTCAAAGCTGAGGTTTGTTGTGTGTGTCTTACTCAACTGCTCCACATCTGGCCCCCTCCAGGCCCAGTAGCAGAGTGGTCTGGTCTCTCCTTATTCCATCTTCCTTTCCCCTTTTCTAGGCAATGGCTCAGCTCTGACCGTGTGGGGCACCGGGAAGCCTCGAAGGCAATTCATTTACTCCTTGGTAAGTGTTCATCCCGATGCCTGGGTTCTCTGTGGGAAGGAGGTCAAGGCTCCTCTCGGATATAGGCCTTTCTAGTCTGCACATGTGCCTGCACCCACACATACACGCAACTGTCACTATCCCTAATCAGGCTGGGAGCCTCTCTCAGCAATGAAAGGAGACTAGCCCTCTAATGGCCGGTGAGTCATCCAGTCTGTGCTAAGGCTCCAAGTATCCCTGGGCCAGAATCAGTCCAGGATAAGGAGAAGGAAACCTGGGCTCAGTATTTACAAAGTTCATACGCTAGTGTGTGAGTGGAGACACTCTGCAAGAATAACAGATGGAAGTTTCAGAGATCGATTTTTGGTTTGATGAAAGGAAGCACTTCCTAACAATTAGAGCAGTGGTACAGGAGGATGGACTGCCTCAGGAGTAGCGAGAGTTGCTTATCACTGGAAAGCTGTCAAGAGGGCTCTTGCCCCGGAGAAATGGGCCTCAGTCACTTCCTAGGGCTCTTCTAACTGAAGGTTGGTGGTTTCCCGAGCTCAGAAACAAAAGAGGCCACGGATGGAGCCCTCAGAGGAGGTGGGGTCCGAGCTGGGTCCCAGTAAGGCTGTTGTAGATGGCTCTAACCAGCCAGGGCTGGCGGCTTCCTTAAGGACCATCTCCTCCTCCACACTGCTCCAGGTGATGTCCCCTTGGCTTCTGGCCTCCTCTTGATGGAGGGCTTGGGATTCCTCACTCAGGTCACTGCCTGCGACCTTGGAGAAGTCATGGAATCACCCTGCCCTTACTTGATGAACTCTGAGGTTTCTTTCAGCTCTAAATCTGTGACCTTTTACTAACTCCCGGACTGCCTGTTCTCAAGCCCCCTCTGCCTTTCTTGGCACTTGAGCTTGCTTGACTGAACCACCTGCCCATTCCTCTGTTGTGACCTTTGGTCTTAGTACAAAAGGAATCAGGACCACTAGTCCTAGAGTTCCTCCTTTCCCTGGGCCCACAGGGGCTGGGCTAGGCAGGGCTGTGCCGTCCGGAGGGGCTGCCTAGCCCCTAGGGTTAAACATACATGGCCCAATGTGACCCCATTATGACTCCAGTCTGTAACTTCATGACCTGAATTTGCCTCTCCCACTGCCTCCAGGACCTGGCCCGCCTCTTCCTCTGGGTCCTTCGGGAATACAGTGAGGTGGATCCTATCATCCTATCAGGTACAGAACTCCTCCCTGCCTCTTCCCCCACCTCATTCCAAGGCTGCAGGAACTCAGGTGGGACAGGGTGGGGGAGGGCGGGGGCCAGGAGGAGAAATCTTGATAGGTTGGGGTGATCTCATAAAGTTTCTAGGAGGGCATGGGGCAGGAGCTGGTCTCCACAGAAAGATAAGACTTGGGTCATCCATGGGAAAATGGAAGAGGCAGAACCTGGAGCTGGCCTGATCTAAGACTTTCTTTCAGTGGGTGAAGAGGATGAGGTGTCCATCAAGGAGGCAGCTGAGACCATTGCGGAGGCCATGGGCTTCCAAGGGGAGCTGACTGTATCCTTTACTGTGTTAGGGACTGCAGTCAAGCAGGCTAGAGACTGTCAACTTCCCCTGATGCAGACAGGCCACCTGGAATGGCAGGAAGAATCTCAGCTCCAGAGCAAGCTTTACCACTGATTGACAGTGTGACCTTGGGGAGGTCCCTCTCTGGGTCTCAGTTTCTTTCTCTAAGACTATGTCTTTCTATTATTTTCTATTTTCTATTTCTCTAGGAGAGTAGCCCCCCAAGATCCTTTCTTAGGCTGTGCTTTAGTGAGGATTAACTGATAGTCACTTGAATGCAAGAAGAGCCCAAGGTGTTGGGGAGAGGGTGGTGTCTTGAACAAGTGATAAGAGATTAATTGGGGAATCTTATGATTTTAGAATTTAGGTAGCAAGACTGAGTCTCTCACTTTACATATAGGGAAACTGAGGCCCAGAGAGGTTCAGGGTCACAGAGCTCGGAGTGGCCCCCAGCCCCTCCAACTCCATATCCTGAGCTCTTGTTCATTACTCCCCACAACTCAATCCTACCCAGGATGCTTCCTCCTCTCTTCTTCCTTCCCCAGCTCTGCTACCTTACTTACTAGATAATGTTTCACAGTGAGCAAAACTTAGAGCCAGGGCTAGAACTCAGTCCACTAGTCTCCCAGTCCTTTTGTTCCTGGGATGTTGGGGAGGACAGGAGTAGTACCCATTGAGTATTCAATGAGCTGCTGATCCTGTGAGCCCCTTGGTCTCCAGGCCCTGAAGCCTGACCTTCTGGGGCCAGCCAGCCCTGGGGAAGGGAACCCTGGAGGCTCCATCAGGCTGGCCCTTTGAGACAGGGTAGGGGACTTTGAATGGAGGTTGAATGAGGGCCTGGAAGTCTGTATGGTTTGAGACGGTGAGGGGACAGTGGGAGGAAGGAGATGGTTCAGATATCAACCCTGAGAGCTGGAAGGACCTTCAGTGGCCATGTGGTGTAACCCATACATGAGAGGAATCCTTACTATATATAACCCTACCCAACAAGTAGTCCTCCAGCCTCGACATCCAAATCCAGGTTGTGACCACTGCATCATAGCTGACTCCACCTCTTCTGTGGGCCTCAGGTTCCTTGTCTGCTCAGTGAGTCAGACTTTAAGATCCTTTCCAGCTCTCACTCTTTGAAAAAAGCATCATCCCTCCCCCTGCCTGGTTCTCCCAAGTAACTCCTTTGTCGTGCCACAAAACCCTCCAGTTTGACTTTGACCTTGACTCAGGGTCACTGATAGTTTGACACAACCAAGTCAGATGGGCAGTTCAAGAAGACGGCCAGCAACAAGAAGTTGAGGACCTACCTCCCAGACTTCCAGTTCACGCCCTTCAAACAAGGTAAGAGCCTCCCCTACCTTGGGAAGGCTAATCTGGCAATCCATTGGGTCCCCCAGATTCCTGTCCATCCAAAGGTAGAATGGGCTGCTTCTGGAGGGGTAAAGTACCCCGTCACTGGAGGTCATGCATGGCATCATCGATTCAGGGCTAGAAAGGAACTCTAAGGTCCTTTTAGTCCACACCCTCATTTATAAAAGCAGCAGCCAGTGCCCAGTGAGGGTAAGTGCGTTATCCAAGGTCATACAGAAGTAAGTAGCAGAGCCAAGATTTGAACACGTCTGACTCCAAACCCAATGTTCTTTTCTCCACTGTGCTGCATTTCCTGGTATGGACAGGGCAATGTAAGATATTACCATTACGCAGCATAAATTCCGCATCTGGTGGGAAATCCATTCTGGGAAATACTACCCTGAGTGAGGGTGGGGGTGGTTTCACAGTTCAGAGAAAACAGGGCCTGAGCCATATCTGATGTTGAAGAAACTTTGCAGTACCTAAAAAAAACAACACCCCATTTCTCTTGGGGCTTTCCTTGAAAAGTCATTAAAATGCTATAACCCCCTAAACACGGTCTCAGTCCCTCTCACACCACTCAGTTTCCCACATTAAAGAAAGGGAATGGGGCAGGAAGGGAACCAAGGAACTGAGACAAGTAGTCAGGCATTGTTGGGGGGCAGGGGAGCAGGGCCACTGGGAGTGTCAGAAAAAGAACAAGAATCCACAAGTCCTAACTCATTTTTTCAAGCAAAAGCTAGATGACCACTTGTTATGGAAGTTGTCAAGGGGCCTCCTACCCAGGCATGGCTTAGACTGGATGATCTCGGAGCTTTCCTCCAGTTCTGAGATCGAGGGCTCAAACCTCTCCAGTCACCTCTCCTCGTCCCAGTGCTTTGGCCTCCTGAGTCATGAGAGTACCCTGGTGGTAGTGGTTAGGGGCAGGAATGGGAGATCGGGGAGTGAGGAGCTGCACGGCCCGTGACTCCTGCCTCTGCCCTGACTCTGCGTGCCTCTCACCAAGTCCCTTGCCCTCTTTGGGCTTCAGTTTCTTCCTCTGTAAAATGAACTCATTGGCTCCTGAGGTACTTTCAGCCCTGATGAATTTCATTTCATTCTTTCAGCAAATACTTGATAAGGTGATATAGTAGAAAGAGCACTGGATTTGGAGTCCTGGGTTCAAATCCAAGCTTTTCCTTTGTCTCATCTTATGACCTTGGCCAAGTCACTTTCTCTTTTTGGGCCTTAGTTTCCTCCTCTGTTAAAAAATTCTCTGTTCTTTATTTTTATACTCTGATGTTCCTAATGCCTCTATGACTTTAGCAGGGCAGGAATTTTTAACCCCCTTTGATAGAAAACACTGAGACCCAGGGAGAGGGCTTGGGGACATGGCTTACCCAAGGTCATAGTGCAGAGCCAGCACTAGACCCCAAGTCTTCTGGGTCCCTGTCCAATATTGCCATTCCCCCATGTTAGCTTGAAAGCAGTGATGCAGATCACATGATTCCAATCCAGGTCTGTTCCTAGCAGAGTTGAGGCCATAGGACCTAGTCAGGTTTCCTGTCCAGTCAGAGCCCATGGGAATGGGCCAAGGTATAGGGGTTGGTGTTGGACCTACCTGAGGACTCTTCTTTCATCCTTCATCCCAGCCTCTTTACTTACTCCTCAGCTGTAAAGGAGACATGTGCCTGGTTTGAAAACAACTACGAGCAAGCCAGGAAGTGATCCTGGAGCACAGGGAGGAGGCTGCAAAGATCCTAGTCCCAGAGGGACAGTGGGGACTGGAAGGAGAGGCTGAGATCGATGCCCTTCTACCTGATCCAGGCCCAGGCCCTCAATCTCCATAGAGGCTGACTTAAGGAAGACCTGGGGAGTTCCAGGTCTCAGTTGAGCATCTGGCCCTGCCCGTCTCTGTTCCTGATCTGGTCACTACAGCTCAACCGCAGGGTGGACACAGGGTTCCCTGTTCCTGCCAGGCTGGCTCCTGAAAGTCCACCATTGCTACCCTCAGGGAAAACTCCCCATGCCTAGATCCTGGGAAACCTGGTCACCCATTTATACTCTTAATCACTGACTACCTGGGTTCCCTGTCCTTTCTGATCATTCTCCAGAAATTCAAATAAAATACATTTTCACAGGAGGATTCAGCTTGTATTAATCTGTACATGTACAGAATGTTAGAGGTATGGTTATACAATTCCTGTGAAGAAAAGTCTGGGAGGTTTCAGTGGACAGGTTCACATGAGTTAGCAGTGTGACTTGGCAGCCCCCCAAATTTAACTTGATCTTAGGCTGCATTATTGAAAATATAAGAAGAAGTGATAGGCCTCTGGTGACAAGCTGAATTAGAGAGAGAGAGAGAGAGGAAGGTGACCAGGCTGGTCATGTCCTGACCTGTTTTTCAAGACCATGACCATAATGAGGAATCTTAATACCTGGGGCAAATTCAGTTTGAGTGTTGGGGGAGTGTCACACAACACAGTCCGTCCTGGTCGGGTGCAACTGCTCAGGAAAAAAGGGTGGCCCTTCACCCAGAGGTATGGGGGGGGGGACTGGTGCTGAGGATTCATAATTCTGGGAAAAAGTTTAAATTAAACTTTCCCAGAGGAAACCCCTCCCATGGCAGAATGAGAAAGTGGTATAGGGAATGTGAGACCATCAGGGGTGACATCTCATCTCCTGAGGTTCAGGGAGGACTGCAAGGTGTAAGATGAAGAGTCAGAGATACACTAGCAGAAAAAGTGCCCATCTCCCCCCTCCCCCACTAGATGCCAAAGTCTCTATCACTCTGCTTCTTGACTATGGCTCTACTTTGCATTACCCTGTTTCAGGTTACTTAGAAAACACCTAGAGAGCTAAAGATAAGCCAAACGCAAAGCATGGACTATAATCCCTAGGGCCAACAAGGGGAGAGTCTATGGAGGCCGAAAGCACATGACAGTTGGAGTAGGGTAATAACAACACCTCAGGGACAGTAGGGAAGAAGAGAAGCTAGCAATGTGCAAGAAGAGATGGTGAGAAGACTGGCCTGTCTGGGAAGAGGGGGAGATAAAGGACAAAAGGTGGCCTGGGACCTCAATGTCAGCTGTATTTAGGTTTACACAAAGGAACATGCATCAACTCAGCAGGGGCCGGAATAGTCCAGGAAGACTTCCTATAGGATCTAGCTTGAGTTGGGCCCCTAAAGATGGGCAGGATTGGAAGAAGGCATGGAGAGGAGAATGAGGGAAAGAACATTGTGAATGAAGTTTCCATTTGGGTTGGGGCTGTCTCAACACTCATATATCAAGGAGCAATCCTGAAGGCAAGAACTCTCCAGCTTCTTCCACCAGTATCTTTATCCATAGGTATAGTCCTGGGGACATGACAGGGCTCTGGTGACAATGCCCTCTAACCACACCCCTTCATCTTTGGCTCACCAGTAAATAAATAACTTCCCCTCATTTCAAGTCTATAGGTTGTTTACAACAATTATAGGGTCATGTGGCACCTGACGTCTCAGAAAAGTTCATAGTCATGTCAGAACAAAACATGATTTCCCAGCTTCTCTCATATATAGGAAAGGTCTCATCTCTGATGTGTGTCCATGTTTCACCAATTTCCCCAGTTCCGAAGGGTTCTAGGGCCGTGGTGAGTGGAGACAATCTGTTCTGCTCCAATGTACACTTTGGGATCTTTGAGCACTGTAATTGGTTGAGGATGGGGGCCTACTCTCATGGCCTTTTCTCAGAGCCCAGTCTCCTCTACACTTCTCTAGATAAAGGCCCTTATCTATATCTACTAACCTGTGTGTCCCATGAGCTCGAAGATTTCTTAGAACTCTATCTCTATTGAAAATCTTGAAAGTGAACTTCTGGTCAGCACTCATCTGAGCTGAAGTTGTAGTTATGAGCTAAGCTTCTTTTTGTTGTTTTCACTTAAGAAATGTCAGGGATAGTCCGATGCTAGCTCTGACTGACTCAGAAGTTAAATTTTCAGTCTGATCATTTACACTTGGAAATCGGTTACAAATCAGGGCTTGGTTTATTGTTTTATTGACTGTGTGGACTTCAGAAAGTAATGGAGATGTGCATTATAATAATGCAAATTAAACTTCAAAGTAGGTCGTGCGTGTGTGTGTTTTTGTGTGTGTGTGTGTGTGTGTGTGTGTGTGTGTTGCCCCACCACCACCAGAGCCTGTTGCAAAGCACTTACCAGCACACCTCTGAATGTGTTGGTTGTTTATGCCTGAAGCTTCTCCATCCTCAGAGTCTCATCAGTTAACAGATAGGTGTGATTCTCTCCCCAAAATCATCAAGGTACAGTGTAAAGTCTGTGGCAGCGTTCCTGATAGAGTTCAAGATCGATACTAGGATGTTAAAAACTGATTCCAGTAATATGTAGTTTGGTAAGATGACATTTATAGCAGTGGTGGTGAGCAGAGCTCTCATCCTATTATGGACTTATTGGTAGATGGATTTCCTGATAAAAACATTCTCCCCACCTTTCCTTCTCTCTCCTCCTTCCCCTTCCCCCCTCCTTTCTCTTTACCTTCCCCTGTGCTTCTACCTCCCCCTCTTTTTGACCTCTGAGTCCCCAGGCAGAGACTGCACTCTGGCAAAACACCTCAGATTTCAATCTCTCTTCTCCCAGGAAGCTCCCCCCTCAATGCATTCCCAATAAGTATTCTCAGACTGGCAGACCTCTGTGGGATGGTTAAGTCCATGTTTAAAGAAAGGTGACTGTTTAAGATAGGGAAGCGGCTAAGGAAACACTGCAGTGGCAAGTGCCAGGGTTGGGATTGGCACCAGGATGAGGACTGGAACCAAAGCCAATGTCTTCTCCCTACCTACCCCACGCTGCCGTTACAGGCCCTGCTACTTCTGTGATCCTCCAGAACTCCTGTGAAGGAGCCCACGCTGGAATGTTCCTGCCCTATTTCCATTTTACAAAGGAGGAAGTTGATGCCCAAAAGGGAGGGGGGACTTGACCAGTCTCCCACCATCAGTGGCAGGAATAGAATCCGATCTCCTGACCCTCAGCCCGGTACGCTTCCCAGTAGGAAAGGCCTTAGCAGTTGTCTAGTTCAACTTCCTCATTTCCCTAGGGGGAAGGAGACATGAGGCCCAAGTCCACGTTAGTAAAGAGGCAGGGCTAGAGCCCACACACCCCCGAGGAACAGTCCCTCCCAGTGGCCTTCACCCACATCTTCCTCTGTGAGAACACTGGCTTCTTTTGGATAGGACCAGTGATTTCATCTACATCTGACAAATTAGAGTGGTAGAAGAAAAATTAAGCAAAGAAATGAAAGAAAATTATAAAGACAATTAACAGTTTGGTAAAAGAGGCACAAAAAATACTGAAGAAAATAACACTTTAACAAGCAGAAGTGGTTTAATGGAAAAAAAGGTACACAAAATAATTCTGTAAAAATTAGAATTGGGCAAGTGGAAGCTAATGACTCCATGAGACATCAAGAAACAATAAAACAAAGTCAAAGGAATGAAAAATAGAATAAAATGTGAAATATCTCCTTGGAAAAATAACTGACCAAGAAAACAGATCCAGGAGTGATAATTTAAGAATTAGTCTATTACCTAAAAGCCATGATGAAAGAAAGAGACATCATATTTCAAGAAACTGTCAAGGAAAACTGCCCCAATATCATCAAACCAGGGGGTAAAACAGAAATTGAAAAAATTCATTGATCACCACCTGAAAGAGATTCCAAAATGAAAACTCCAAAGAATATTATAAGCAAATTCCAGAGCTCCTGGGTCAAAGAGAAAATACTGCAAGCAGCCAGAAAGAAATCATCCAAATATTTGGGAGTCACAGTTAGGATCACATAAGATTTAGCAGCTTCAATATTAAAGGAGCAGAGGGTTTGGAATATGATGTTTCAGAAGGAAAAAAAAGCTAAGATTACAATCAAGAATTACCTACCCAGCAAAACTGAATATAATCCTTCAAGGGGGGGAAAAAAGTGGACATTTAATTAAATAGAGGACTTTCAAGCATTCCTGATGAAAAGACCAGTGCTGAATATAAAATTTGACTCTCAAATGCAAGAGTCAGGAGAAGCCAGGGCAGCTAGGTGGCACATATAATCATATAAGGGGGGAAATGATCCTTTAATGAAATAAGGGACTTCCAAGCATTCCTGATAAAAATATCAGAGTGCCAAATAGAAAATTTCACATTAAAAACATAGGCATCAAGTGAAGAATAATCAAGTAAACTTGAGTGAGAAATCATAATGGCCTAAATAAGTTAAATTGTTTACTTTCTTATATGGGGAGATGATACATGTAACCTTTCAGAACTTTATCATCACCAGGGGTCTTAGGAGTCTAATTAGACAGAGAATCTGGATGTGACTCTATTATATTTAGGGGATCTCAAAAGAAGAGAAGAGGAATGCACTGGGACAGGAGGAAAGAGAGTGCGAGAAGGGGGAAATTACCTCATATAAGGAGGAGTTTATATGACGGAGGGGGTAATGGAAATGGGGAGGTAACACTTGAACCTCACTGCTATCTGAACAGTCAGTCCTTGCTTGTTAAACTTCCACCACTTCAAGCCTTCATTTGATTTTATTAGTAACGTCATTTTTACTTTCAAGTTGGCAATCACACACACATTCAGGACTATGTGCAGTAGAAAAAAAAAGAGAGAGGCATGATATTCAAGTTTATATCCACAAAAAGGAGAAAAGTATTCATAAAAGTATTCATGAAATCTACTCCAGAAAGTGCTAAAGTAACCTCTCAAGTGTGTGGTGAGAGAATTGAAAAAATGGAAAAGTGGCTAAGTTGGTGGGTAAATGAGATGGAGGTCACTCCTGCTCTCTCTCTTGCTAGCATCCTGCCTCCTCTGCTACCCGTGTCTTTGGGCTCCTGAGAGTCCCTGCAGGTAGGGGGAAGCCGCACAGAGCAGCACCCATTTAGAGCAGGGCTGGCCAAGCTGCCTGAGAACCCAGCCAGAGAGTTACCCTGAGGCATGTGCTTTCCATGGGGAACAGTTCAACCATGGAACTGAAAGGGAAATTAGAGATGGCAGGTTGCCACTTTCCTTTCTTTACCTCAGGGTTCTTCTGACATCAATACTCCTGCCCCTCCTCATCCATGCCTGCACTGCCTCTCCTCCCTCCTATATTTT